CCCCCAAAACCCCAAAACCCCAAAACCCCATAAGTAGCATCCAAGCCTTATTTTAGGAGTAAAATATAAAGTGAATTGAGTTATCAAAATTAACTTATTAAAATAATGTTATTTATTCTTTTAACTTCTTCATTTCTTGAACTTCCATCTATTTAAACTTTGTTTTAAAGATATTTACCATCGGATATTCAGGAATATTGAGTGCCTGTAGGAACGCTCTAATTCTGAACAAATGACCAGCCTTAAACGGTTCTGTTCTCATAGATATCTGGATCTAACTCATCAAAGTCGTCAAATACCTTCTTCAGCTGCTCATCCACGGAAGATTCTACAAAGTTTTACACATGGGCATAGTATTTCATGTTAATATCAGGCCTTGGAGGTAACATCTTCTTATCTTTCACAATCTACCAATCAACACCATTGAAGAAGGGATGCCTCTTGATGTCTTCGGATCCATCTGAACCAGCACCAAGTCTCTTGCTGGGGTTTCTATTTAACAAGCTTACAATCAAATTTTTGCACTCTTCAGATAAGCTGGCTGGAATCTTTAGAACACCTTTTTAAATATTATGGAACAGTTCATCTCTAAAGTATAGTTATTAAGCAACTAAATATTACTTTTTGGGTGAAAAATAAGGCGGGCAACCAACTACCATCTCATAGAGCAAAACACCTAGGAGATACCAATCAACAGATTTTCCATGGCCAACTCTTCTAAGCATTTCTGGAGCTAGATAAGCTACTGACCCGCAGAAAGATTTAGCTCCCTTAGCTCCCTCTTCTACTCCTTCTTTGGATAATCCAAAGTCTGTTAAAAGAGAGTGACCCTCCTCATCAAGAACAACATTATCAGGTTTAAGATCTCTATATATGATATCTCTCTTATGAAGATCTTCCAATGCTAGCAGTATTTCACAAACGTATATTCTTGCTCTGTCCTCGGAAAATTTCCTCTCTCTTTATAGAATCTTACCTAGATCACCACTAATAGAATCATTAAGATATAAAAAAAATACCCTGGACAGAAATCAAGAATTAAGAATAATTTTGTCTTTGTTTAGAAAGCATAGTTGAGATTAACAATGAAAGGATGTTTTGTGTAAGATAGCACATCTCTTTCCGTCTTGGCGTATCTTACTAGGTTTTGCCCCATAATTCTTTGTTTACTCAGGACTTTCATTGCGTAAAGTTTTGCTGTCTTCTTTTCTTTTACAAGATAGACCTCACCAAAACTTCCACTTCCCAGCATTTTAATAGGCAAAAACATTTATGGTCCAACTTTACCCTCATCATCGGTTGTCTAAGAATTGGTATTACTGGACATAGATGAGAATGTTTGAGGCTGCTAAGTGCTAGTAGTCATCTCAGTTTGAATCTCGAAAGTTGCCTTTTGTTGAGTGGATGATGTCCCCTAGGTATTTCTCTTTTTATCAGTTTATGTCAAAGAATCCTATTATCATTATGAGTAAAAAATATACAAGAATTTGGATTTATTTATTTGTGGCCCTAGATTTAAGAGTAACTTCATCTACTTATAATTATCTGGCTTGCTTATTGCTGTTACTACTATCACTAGAGTTGTGACTCTAATCATGTGGTTTGTTCTTATTCATCAGTGTAGGATTCGGCTATGTAGTTGTTGGATTCTTATTATTTAGGAAATATTTCACACTTTTTATGTACTCTTCGAACGTCTAAAAATATATATAAGTTATATAAAAGCATTAAATACCTATAGGATTTCATGACTAACGGCTACATCGATTGGAGATTTACCCTCGCTATTTTTGGCGAATAAAGTTGGATGTCTGGTCAATAAAAATCTCAAACAATCCTAGTGGCCATATTCAGCACAGAAATGAGCTGGGGTATTACCATCTATATCCTTGGCATCTGGATCTGCACCAGCCATTAACAATGTCTAAATAACAGCGAAATTTCCTCTAATACAAGCAATATGCAATGGTGTTCTAAAGTTTTTAGTTCTAGCATCGATGACAGCCCCATATTCAATTAGTATTTCTACTAGACCTGTGTGTCCTTCACTTGCAGCTACATGCAACGGTGCCCATCCGTCAGTGTTTGTGCAGTTTATGCTTAATTGAGTCTGAGGACCCTGTTAAGTCTAGAGAATTTTCAAAGTGGCAAGCTTATCACCAACCTCAACTGCTAACCATAGTTTCCTAGCAACATCTCTCAGATTTTTCTTCGAAGATGCATCACTAGCTCTACTGCTTTAGTTCAAATCTTCTTCATCCTTAACGTTTTCATCATCATTAGTATTATCACCGAATGTGCCATTATCTTCCTTTTGTTCTTCTTCTTCTTCATTATCGTCATCATCTAAAACTCCCATTTTTACTTAGTTAGGTGAGATTAAATCGACTCCTCGTTAGTTCTAAAGATTTGACTTTTAATTAGAAGGCTAATAGCTCTATCTTTTATCATAGAACATGTTGCCTTGCTTATTTTGCGGCTTTATCTGCAGTGGTGATCCACTCTTTTTCCCCATTGTGTTTGGATTTTAAGTCTCTGGACTTTAACTCTAGTAAGCTAAATTTGTTGTTTTATACTTGCTTATGGTTCCACTAGGCTGATTTCTGCTTTTCTGTTAGAATTGAGATTGTGAGGCTGTTAAATTTTATTAAGACCCAGTTGAGTTATTAGATTAATTTAGCTAGTAATTAGCTTGGGTACCTTTTAACCCAAAATTTTACTGGGTATTTGTAATCATTTTGTAGTAATCGACCTTTCCAGCAGCATTGACATTTTAAGGACTTCTAGATTTCTGATAGAGATACTCCTAGTACATGATATTAGGATTAGTTTACCTTTTCTAAGAGCCATTGCTCTAATTACTCTTGTTGAGCTTCATATTCAGTTTTTCTTCAGATGCTCGTCGTTGTAAAAAGTGCATTAGATTGGCTTGTTAATCTGTTGGTTCTGTCTTCATGTAGGCATTTGCTGAACCATCTGGACTACCCTTCTTAGAGTTTGGTTATGAATTCTACATAAGCTTATTAGAACTTTGAGTTGGTGAGGTAAATATGATCTTTGTGTGATTATTTCCAGATTTAGTTGAAACAGGGATCTTTTTATACTCTTGGAACTATGCTTAATTTGAATTATTCTACTGACTCTGCATAGCAGCTTGTTCTTGACTAAATAGCTTCTAGTGTTCCTGGTGGAATCCCTTCAAGAACAATTTATTAGTTGCGCCCACACTCTGCTTGGGAGAACTTGAAGATGCCTATCCTGCAGCCTTACGAGTCTGAGTATCTGCAAATTTAGAGAAGTGAGCACCTTGATTTTTAATAAATTGTTACGATTTTTGCACATTAATTTCCCTGGATTGGTTCTGTGGACTTGTGGAATAATTTTGGGGAGTCAATTTGGAGAGAGTTTAGCCTAAAATTTGAGGGGGCTTCTTTTTAGCAGGTTAACGTATTCCTTAAGATGATTGATTTGGATTCATTCTGCTGTTGCTCTTTTTATTTAATATAATATTTCGTTATTAAGATTTAATTTGTTATTTCTCACTGACTTAGCTTATTATTCAGCCTGGGGTTTTGGGGTTTTGGGGTTTTGGGGTTTTGGGGTTTTGGGGTTTTGGG